ATTTCAGAAGTGGGTGGCCAATCCTTCTTCCTAGTCTGTCTTAATCTGAATGTTCAGATTTAGAGGAGTATCTGACAGACAGCAATTTGTGAAGCAGTGAAAGAGAAAACCCTTATTGATTCCCATTCTTCTCAGAGTCAGCCACAGCTTATTGTGATCCACACAGTCAAAAGCCTTTGCATACTGTTCAATAATTTCCACTCTCTCTCAGATCACCTTTTTTGCTATGCATAAGAGAGCTAGACAATAACTAAGGATGACAGAAGAAGAACTGATGTCTTCGAATAGTGGTGCTGGCGAAGTCTTGAACATACCATGGACTGCCAAGAAAGTATGTCTTGGAGAGGATGAAACCAAGTTTCTTCTTGGAGTCTAGGATTTGGAAGCTCTGTCTCACATACTTTGGGCACATGGCCAAGAAAGACTAGTCCTTGGAGAAGGACATCATGCTCCGAAGGATGGAGGGACAGCGCAGGAGAAGACCTTGGATGAGATGGATTGACACAGTAACTGATGCAATGGGGCTTGGTGTGTCTGAATTAGTGAAACTAGCCCAGGACAGGGCAGGGTTCAGAACTGCTGTATATAGGGTCGCAGGTGACTCGATGGCACATAACAACCACCACCACCATCACCACCACCTCTTATTCTGGGCTGTTGTGGTACATATACTCCCTAATCATGTATTTCTCTTAAACAATTCTTTCCTTCATCTGCTCTAATGCAATGGTCATTATCTATTCAGTCTTATCCTACTCTCAACCCTTCATGTTGGACCTGATTTACAACAGTAGTGCAATGCAGTATTTGTCTTTTGGTGACTGAGATACTGCACTCTATATGATGTCCTCCAGGGTCCCTCAGGTTGTGTAATGTTTTATGAGTTCACGGTTTTTCAGTGCTGTGTAGTATTCCACTGTATGAAAACACCATAGTTTTCCTATCCATTCATTTGTTGATGGACACTTTGGTTGCTACCATCTCTTTTTTCTTGAAATGCAGCAGGGTGTGCATGTATCTATTTGGGTGGTGGTTCTGGTTTCTTTAGGGTATATTCTAAGTAGTGAGTGGCACTGCTGGGTCAAATCATATTTCTATTTCCAACTTTTTCTTTTAACAAAAAAAATAAAATCAGGGTCATCTCCAGAGTACTGAAAAACAATTATGTCAGTCTAGAGAGTAAGGTGTGCCTAATTTAGGCCATGGTCTTCACAGTTATTTGCTATGTATCAGAACTGGATAATGACTAATGATGACAGAAGAATAGTTATCTTTGAGTGGTGGTGCTGGAGAAGAGTCTTGAACAATACCATGGACTACCAAAAAAGTAAGTCAGTCTGCCTTGGAAAGAATGAAAGCAAGTTTCTTCTTGGAGGCTAGGATTTTGAAGCTCGTTCTTAACATACTTTGGGCATGCGGCCAGGAGGGATCGGTCCTTGGAAGGGTGGAAGGCTATTAAGACCCCAGATGAGATGAATTGATACAGTAACTGGGGCAATGGGGATTGGTGTGTCAGAATCAGTGAGACTGGCTCAGGACTGGGCAGGCTTGAGAGCTGCTGTACATAGGGTCACTATGGATCACAGGTGACTCTACAGCACAAATAACAATACTGGTTTACTTACAAAGTTCATACAGTTTTTTACACCGGATCTTTTACATTTCATTTCCCCAATTCTCTCGTCACCCATCAAATTGTGTGACCCTATGATTACTGCACCCTCCATTTTCAACTTTTTGAGAAAGCGCCAAACTGCCTTCTATAGTGGTTGTACCATTTTACACTCTTGGTCATTTGAGTTCTTGACTGCTGCTTCCATGGGTGCCAATTGTAGTTTTTTACCAAAGTAAAATGTAATCATTGACAACTTCAATCCTTTCTGCAGAAGGTCTATGCCAACATTTAGGACTGAACAGCCAAATTCAGGAAATTATGGAATCCATGGAGCTTCCTCTCACTGATCCTGAGTAGTAAGAAGAGACAGGCATAAAGCTCATCAAAGAGGTCATTCTCAATGGTCCACCTGGCACCATTTGTTGTTGTTGTTATGTGCTGTTGAGTCACTTGCAACCCTATGTATAAGAGCCCTAAACCCTGCTCTATCCTATGCCAACCTCACTGTCTCGACACACCTACTCCTATCACCCCAATCACTGAATCGATCCATCTCATCAAGGGTCTTCCTCTCTTGTGCTGGCACACCACCCTCCCAAACATGATGTTCCTCTCCCAGGGCTGGCCTCTCCTTGCAACATACACAAAATATGTCAGACAAAGCTTCAGAATCCTTGTCTCCAAGGAGCAGTCCGGTTTTACCCTCTCCAGGACGAACCTGTTTGTTCTCCTAGCAGTCCATGGTATATTCAACACTCTTCCCCAGCACCACAGCTCAAAGGCATCAATTCTCTTTCTATCATCCCTAGTCAGTGCCCAGCTCTCTGACACATAGCACACAATTGCAAAGACTATCGGCAGCATCAGGTGCACCTTAAGTCTCCAGCCTGACGTTGATGCTCTTCAGTACTATGGAGAGGTCCCAATGCCATTTGTCTCTTTATTTCCTGGCTGCTGGCCCAGTGGTGAGAATCTTTGTTTTCTTGATGTTGAACTTCAATCTATATTGAAGGCTGTAATTCTTGACCTTCTACAGCAAGCAACAACATATATAATATCATATTATGATATTACATTATATTATGCATTGGGAAAATCTGCTGTCATAGACCTCTCCAGAGTGCTGAAGAGCAATGATGTCAGTCTAGATACAAAAGTGAAAGTAGACTCGTCCAAAATACCTTGTTACAGATCTTTCACAATACCAACTTATCTGAACTGCCCTCATTCAATGTGTGGTATCAACCACCAGAATTTAAGTTTCAAGAAAAAAGAAACTTTGTCTAGCTTATTTCCTATTCATCTAGAATACTAGTTGGCATGCAGTGGGTGCTCAATAAATATTTATTAAATATATGCTCCTAAATAAAGCACAGCATTCTACAACTCTAGAGAGACAAGGGTTCTAAAATTTACACTAAAAGAATGTAAAAAGTTAACACAGCTATTTAAAGTGTTTAATACTCTAAGTAGTCTCATAAAAGTCAATGAAATACCAATCAAAGCCTCGACTTGGAGAAAATTCCATTTCATCAAAAAATTATATAGGTCAAGTAAGTGAAGCAGACCAAAATCAACTCCTTTACACTTGCCTAAAATGACAACCATAATCTGCCGAATTCTAGAATATCTCAACTAAACAGAGTCTTCCGAAATCGAAGATATAAGCAGCTCACTCAATGAATTAAGGAAGACAATATAATCCTTGTCCATTCTTTACTGTGTACGAGCTCTGGTCTCTCTGGGACCAATTGCTTGCCAGAGAATGTTGTTTGAAAGAGAATCAAAGGGAAAAAAAAAAGAGAGAGAGAGAGAGAGAGAGAGAATGTGAACCAAATACTCCTTTCTATTTCCTGACCTGAAGAAGTAGCTAAAGATTCAAAGTATCTACTCCAGAAGAAGTAAATATATTCTCTTTTATGTTCTACCACTATCACTTGAGTGTCTGAGTTATTACGTAGTTTCATTTGGGTGTTAAAAAACAAAAACACACACCAAATCTATAACCATCAATTGAGTCCAATTCACAGGTACCCCCTATAAAGCAGAATAGAACTGTCCCTTTATTAACTGCCATATCTTTCCTCCCACAGTGGCTGGCAGTTGAGCATTAAATCAATGCTCTACCAGGCCTCAACCATATTCACCACACTTTAACCCAAAGATACCAAATGCAACAAACTCCAAAGCTACCTACTACTAGCAGACACGACCTGAGCTCTGTCATAAAACATGTTCATCTGTCACATTCAAGTTGAAAACAGTGTTAATTCATTGTTAAGCATGCAACAATTCTGCTATCTGATTTAGGGAGAACCAAAAAAATATATAATTGTTGTTATGTGTGTGGAGTCAGAAACAACTCATAGCTGACCCTCCAGTGGATTTACAGGAGCTGTAAATCACAGGAGAGGAGAAAATGCCCATCATTCTCCCTCAGAGCAGCTGGTAGATTCAAACTGGCTGCTTTTGGGTTGGCAGTGTAATTCCTTACCACTAAGCCATAAGAGCTTTACAGAAATCTAAATATACAGTTTCAAAGACAGCTTAATTTTATTCTACAACTAAACAGAAGAATAGTTTCTTTTTTGTAAGAGTAGGAAGAAATCCAAGATATTATCTGAAACAAGTTCAGAAATGAAGTTAGTCTTTACATTTAATGAACAAACGAAACCCTATTCTTTGGGTATCTTAAGGTAAACTGTCTAAAAGAGAACTTATTATCTTCCTGACAGCACTGATCCATGATCCATCCCAATCTGATTGATCAAGTTACTTAACCTGGACTATACAGACAATGGTTAACAGTCTGGTCTGTAGAAAAGTCAGATATATTACAGTGTGAATGGCATCATTCCCTGATCGGGTTAGACATCAGACTTTCTGAGCCTTAGCTTCCTCATTTATTAGGCACAAGAGTACAAATTGCAAGTAGACAGGAATTCATAGGTTACTGGTTCAAATCTAGTTAGCAGCACCATAAGGAAAAAACCCCTAGTGATCTACACGAGATTAGAGCCAAGAAAATTTTGAGGCAGTTCTATTTTGTCATATGTGGTCACTATGAGCTCTAGTAGTACAGCGCTAAGGAGTTGAGCTGCTAACCCAAATATGCATGGTTTGAATCCACCAGCTGCTCCTCAAGAGAAAGATGGTAATCTCCTCTCATGTGATTTACTGCCTCTGATGTTATGTTTCATAGACTGGTTCATTGTGTGTAAGTACCAGATTGTTTATCCATTCCTCTGTTGATGAGCAATTAGGTTATTTCCATCTTTTTGCTATCATGAGTATTGTTGTGATTGATATGAGTTTGTGTCTATTTATGTTCTGGTGGATCTGAGCCACTACTTTTGTGTTAGCAGCCCAACTCCCTATGGACTATGACACTAGAGCTCTGCTTTTTTTAGAACCTTAAGAATTTTCTCACCTTTCAAATAAGGTAAAAAATAACGGCAGTATTTCCTCACTTGATTTGCAGGCTCAGAAACCAGTGGAAGGTCAGTTATGAGTTGATTCCAACTCAACAGCAATGAACAGCAATATTAATGTGTTGCTTTAAGATTCACAGAAATTTTGTGTGGTATATTATGTAGATATTAATTTCTATTTTAATAATGAAGAAATGTCACAGAAATTAAAAAGCTTGCCAGAATTTATAACAACAAAATAGTTGCTCAGGTTGCTTATGTACAACCAAAAACATCACAAGATTTTTGGTTTCTAGGTTTGAAGGATTAAGGTCATCATTTCATGTACATACCAGTTAACTGGCCTAATTAATATGTTTAGTGTTTCTGTTGTATCTCTTATGTAATGCCCAAGGGCCTGAAATGCTTGCAAACAGCAATCCAAGGCACCACAGTTGGTCTCTATTCACCTGGACCAATAGAAGATGGTGAGATAGAGACATAAGGAAGATACGGAATGCGTGGCAGACTAGTGTATTAAAGTTATCTCCTTTGTCGTGAACCAGAAGCATTTGATGGTGCCCAGGTACCATTACAGAACATTTTGATCAAAGATTCCACAGAATAATACTGATCTAAAAGGGAAGGAATACAGAAAAGAATTTCAAATTCTTAAGCTCTCCAGACTTTCTAGTCTCATTGAGACTGGATGAATGCTCCAAACTATTTCCCTAAAATAATCTTTAAAATGTAAATAAAAAATATGCCTTAAAGTCTTCTTAAAAGGAACCAACAGTTTAGCTTGACTAGGAAGCAATGCCTGCCTTAAGCAATATGCATTTTTGTTAATTTTTAAAAAATTCTGTTGTTCTTTCAGCATTATGTTTTTTAAAGAATGCTATATGGACTCAAAGTGGAAAAGGCTGGGGGTAATGAGTTTATGTTAATGGAAGAGGAACAAATGAAAAAATAGAGAATGGTAACTCAACATAATCAGTATCAATAAATTGTACATGTAGAAAGAGTTGAATTGGTTTATGTTTTGCTATGTATATTTTTTCAACAACAAAAAGCTTACCAAATATCAAAGAGAAACTAGGCCTTAAGTATAAAAACCTTCTAAATCCTTGTTTGAGGCTTTTAAAGCAATTAACTGTGTGTTCTAGATGACCATCCAGTAGCCCCAGGTACTTGCTGAGCATATCATGTAGGTTCAAAGTCACATTATGATGTCTTTAGTCACGTTAGCAGCTTTCAATTTCTCTGCTTCTCATGGAGGCTAACATTGTTCCCCAATCACATTCAGGATAAATGACACATAAAAAGCATATACTTCTGCATGCAGCTTTCCAATTTTGCCAGCACCATTTGTTTAAAAGGCTGTCATTTCCCCACTTAACTGGTTTCATCTCCTTGCCAAAAATCAGTTGACCATAGGTAGATGAGCTGATTTCTGGATTCTCAATTCTATTCCATTGATCTATGTGTCTGTCATTGTACCAGTACCATGCTGTCTT